TCCTAATTGTATAGGTGCAGGTATGTAATGACCTCTGTACTTCTCAATATACTTTCTGTACGCAGATACTTGAATGAAAGTGTTAACAGGATTACTTCTGGCTTGGTGGTTTTCTCTCCTATGTGTGTTTTATGTTTCCATATGACAATGGAAAGATTTGAGAACCCAAATCTGTGGATCCTTGCTCATTTTCTAAAAGGCTGAATGTTCTTGTGGTTGCCTCTGAGAGATGGTATTTGACACTGATCTCTTAAAAAAACCACTTTCCCTTATTGGTAGCAAATCTGCGCCATCTTGTGGTCTGCTGAAATTCTTATTTTTTACTTTAATATATTCTGTTGAATCTTGCTTCTTTTTCCATTCATTGGCAGTTACTGGGTCATGCTTATCTCCTGCCACAAACCAAAAGGACTCTCAGTGGTACAACACTGTCTTTTCTAACACTGATAACCTGCATTCACCATTTAAAGCTAAATGGATTTTTTATACAATTTATCCTTTTTTTTTTTTTTTTAGAAAAATAAAATTTAGTTGTATTTATGCCCTGTGAGGCTGGTTTATTTCCAAGAGGGAAAGTCTGATATTCCAGTCACATGCCTTGACACTCTAGGTCCAGGAGGTAGTACTCTAACAATTATATATTTTTAGTTTTACCTTGCAACTGCTGCAGAGCAATGTATGGTATAGGAACCTATCACACCAAGACTTGGAGAGAGGGAATCCAGGTGTGGTGCTCCCTAGAATATAGTTTGTGGCAGTGAGAACCACCAACTCATTACTCCAAGAACCAGGAAGCGGGCCCAGGTTGTGAACATCCAAAAGCCTTCAGGGAGGAGAAGTTTGAGTCTTTCACTATTCCAGCCTATGGGCTTGCCAAACTGTTACAGATGTTGTCCTCATTATCAGTCCAGGTATTCCTAAGATGACAATGAGTAAGAAGCTTTTTTCTCTGATGGTCCAACCTCTAGAATTCTTTTCCCAAGGCTTCCTAACTGCTTGGAAGTTGTGATTTCTTTAGATCTGAGCATGTTTCAGAAACATTTAAATTCTGCAGGAGAAACTGACCGGCCACGGTCCCTCTTCCATTTAAAACTTAAATGTTATTAATGCACTTCCAGTAGATCCTCTTTTTTAAAAAAAATAAAAGATTAACTTTACTTTTTCATTCTGCTCACCAAAGTAACTTTTAAACCACTCAATTCCTGTAATATGATTCAAGATATCCAAAATGCTTTTTTTATTAACAGGCAAGATTTTTTCTTTGACAGTTCCTTCAGAAATTATTGGTTTCTTTATCACACCAACAGAAAGGGAAAATTCCACAACATGGTTGTAGATTTGCTTTCCATTGATTACTGGGCAGATCCAGTTGATTAGGGACTGGAGTGATAGTCATCTGGTGTTCTGTCACTGCTTTTTCAGCTTGGCTTATAATGGTGTCAAAACGTGGTTCAGAAGTTGGGGAGAGTGGGGTGGATTCTGAAGGGTCTTTTAAGAGGTCAAAAAGCAAAGGCGGGTTATGATAGGTTACGTCGTCTCCAGAACATGGGCATAGGATTTTTCCATAACATTCTTCAGCCCCGTTTGGTTGCAAGTTTGGAGTCACATAATGGACCTTCCAGAGAGCTCCATCTTTTGCCGGGGGAGGGGAGGGGAGGGGAGGGGGGCAGAGAGAAAGAGAGAAAAATAATTTAAAAATGCAAAATTCAACATGATTAAACAAGACAGCTTTTCTAAAGGTTTTCCATCTTAAATCACACTTTGAACTATTTCAGCAAATTGTGCCAGATACTATGAGTACCTTGTTGCCTTTGAAAAAGTTTTCTCTAAAGAACAGTAGAACTCCACTGCTCTCACTTCAAAAATGTGTTTGCTATAAAAATACTCTTTATATTGTTAGAAACAGTCAGTTGCTTGATAGGTGGTGTCTGATGGCTGCAGCAAGATACTTCTGAGTCTGTCCCACAGTTTTTTCAAGCTGAATATTAAAATACAGAGTACAGTATTGTATTCTGTATTTGCATAATACAGTTAGAGATGCAAAATTTCTGGAAAGTTTGAAGTAACAGAGTTTCATTTTTTCTTTTTCAAAAAACAGAAATGTAGGGGAAAATGGAAAAAAATACAACACCTAAGCATTTTCATCTCCCAGAAACATAACATCACTTTGTGGCTCATGCCATAAATTTACTACTTGATTTGTTTATAAAAGTATGTTTGATATTAAAATTGAGAAGTATAATTTATTTATACAATAACTTTATTGATAAAATCACTTTAATTTTTTCTCAATGAAACGATAGCCTCCTGAACTCTAAGAAATGTACCATCTTCTTATTTTTACATGTTTAGGAGAAGCAAACAGCAAAAAGTTAATGTCAAAAACCAAATAATCACCTTTGTACCAAAACAGATATTTGTACATTTCGACTTTTATCTTCCATTATGTTAAACAAATAGGAAAAACACTTATTTTCAGGGATGGGGGAACAGAGAAAAGGTAATGCAAAATATTTGAGGCTCACATACCGACTTGTGAAATATCCTCTAAAATCTCTCATTTTTGAAAACTAATTTACTATACTATTAACAGTTTCTACGTATTTTGGTTTTGTATCATTTTTTTTAAAAGCTGAAGGAGATTTTTTTTTTTTTGCTTTGAAATAAGATGTTACCTTACATGTTAGTTTATGTCATAATTTGATATATTTCTGAACGTCCATCAATCTGTTTACATATTATCCATTTTAATGAAATATTAGGAACTCTTTCATTGCTTAGGGTTCAGGAAGAACTCAGGACATTTAAATTCTGGCTCTCCCCCACCCAAGGCCTGTCGTTGAACGTTTCTGTACTTGCAGCCTTTCCACCTTCTCCCATTTCTATCCCTCACATCTTCAACTACATTTTATTTTTTATAAATGGGTGGTGGTTCAGGTCAGCTTGGGAAATACAAACCTTGATTTGTAGTGCAATCCTATACATGTTTTGGGCAGTATGTCTAATTATTATGTGAATGATAGAACTAAAGTACTAAAATATTCTTTCTCATGCGATAAATTCAATCAATACTGTTCTCACAGCAATTGAGGCAACATCTTCCATTTCTTGTTCTATATAACAGGCAATCAGCATATAAAATAATGGTTACATAACTAAACAGAGACTTTTCCGGGCCACAGCTGGTATACTTAACTCTTAAGATCTGGTTATTTTATTCCTAATTCCACAAATGCGAAATAATTGATCAGTTTCATGCACAAATGGCCATAAATTAAGAACAATCATGTTATCAAAAGCCAATATTCTGTTTGGATACTCTCCAATTCCTTCAATGTTTACCAAGCTATTTGATTATATTCTTCATAGATGCTAGCTTTTAATAATTCTAAACACAAAAATTTGAAATGGCTGTTTTTAGGCCTAGCAAGCTTGGGTACGTTTTCCCCTCTAGTGGATCATTTTATAATGCACAGAGTTTTTAGTGAGTAAAGCAGTCCAACCTGGGAAGCTACATAAAATATAAAAACTTGATAATGCAAAAAAAAAAAAAAAAAAAACGTAGGTTTACTTCATCTGTTATTCCCATTATATTTTAGGAACAAATATAGGTTTGACATTATCAATGTGTAAATTGAATTGATTGACACAGCTATACCTTTTGTTGTACTACCAACAGAAATTCGTAACCATGGCCTGCGTTACTTGCAGAATTACCTCTCCCTAAGAGATACTGACTAACTTCACCTTCCTTGCATTCCACAAAAGCGGTGAAAAGCATCCTGTTCTTAATATATATAGAAACTTACATGCAGACGGATTAAAATAATCTTTTGAAACTAATGTATTCATCCTAAGTACTGGCTGAGTTTGTTTGCTTGTTTATTTATTGGATATGTTCAGGCTGCCCAGCTCCAAAAAGACTGTGGGTGGCTTACAATATGTCTAATACGTAAGTTTAAAAACACAACTAAAAACCATGTAAGTGCCTGGACTAAAACAACACTGCAAAAAAAAAGAGTTGAAATGATTATTACTATGTATGCTGCCCAGAGTCACAATGTGAGATGGGCGGCTATACAAATGTAATTAATTAAATAAATAAATACATACATACCTACATACTTTCCATCATCCTTGGGTCGGCAGAAAATTACCCAAGAACAAAATTTGCTGTCCCTGTTGCTGATTTCTTCCCTGCCTCAGTTGTCTGAGTTCTCAGTACTATCAGTCAGCTGACTGCTTTCCAAGATAATGGGTGCGAAGGGCTCTTCCACAGCTCAGCCTTTCAGCCGGCAGGAAGCTATAACCATATCAAGTTCTAGCCAAAAATCACATCAAATTTCAGCCATGGCAAAACTGTGGCAGGTTCTTGTCTGTTTATGGGGCAAAAGGCTACTTTAATGCCAGTACAGCTGTGGATAATTTGAACCTGCCTCAGGTATGGCTTGGGAATAAGATGAAAGCAACGTCATAAGGACATAGAAGAAAAATGAAGTATCTGGGCCGTGTTTGTGCTTCGGTGAAGTGCGAGTGGAGAAAGATCAAGATCAAATAGATTTTACGTACCTTGAGAGTGCCTTTTGACAGGGTCAGAATAATACTGTACAGCTAGCCAAAGTTAAACTGGATGGGCTGGGGAATGAGTTGAAGGGATAAAGTACAAAATTTTTTTAAAAATGCTGGGCCATGTTTAGTTCACGGTTAGGTAGAGATGAGAAAAGGACTTAAGTATGGCTAAATCTAGGTTCAGCCCAGTATTAGTATGGTGAAACTGTGGATAAGGAACAGGGACATCTTGGGGGTGGGGCAGTCAAAAAGTCAAGATAGCAGGCACAACTGTAGAATCAAAGGCCTGCTCTTCTAAGATACATCACAGTAATCTAAAAAGGGGGTGGGACTTTGATCCTGTGGTCATGCCAGCCATCTTGACTTTTTTGACCCATCCTGGGATATTTCTGTTTTGGAACAACACATTATTATTTTTTTAGCGGATATGGAGCCGTTAAATAAAACATACCTTTCAAATATAAGACAGCCTTCCATTTTCATTCCCTTTCTCTAAATAATTCAAAGGGCTGGTTTGAACTTCTTTACACTGAGTCTCTTTGAGCAGTGGGGTGTAAATAGTATTTTATTTACCAGGCTTTTAGCAACTTTTAGAAAAAATCCTAAACTTGTTAGGGAGTACATTTCAGTGTCATAGACTTTATTTCTGAGTAAATATGCATTTTATTGTTCTGTAAATATTTAGGGTTCTGCTTAAACATGATATACTGTTCTGATAATGTTCCAATTCACTGAACCCTGCGGTTTAATATTTTGTGTGTGTTGCTATCTTTTAAAGGTTTTATGTTTCAACATTGTTTTAATATTATTTAACTTGAAATTGCAAACTGCTTTGATTTTTCTTCTGTGAGCAAGTTCTTAATCTTCCAACATATACAGTATGCAGGATTTCAAAATCTGAACTCTGAAATTTCACCAAATGTTGACAAAGAATTTTGCAAAGCCTCAAAGAATTATTTAAAAAGTTTTTAAACATGCATGGAAGCTGAGATTCAACCCAATACCAAATGTCTTGTGTGCAGCCCCAGACGTAGAATATCTTTACAACTGACTTGAAAAGTTTGTCTGAGAAATAAATAACTACTGCTGGGTTGGCATTATTCATTTTTTGCACAAAATATTTTATGACCCCCCTAAATAAATATACTATAGGAAAAAAGCTTTATACTCACTCTCCTTCTCATGCCAACGCACTGCATGTAAATGTGTCCCACAGTAATGAAACATAAATTCATGCTCTGAGCGCTGAACAGTTCCCAGCAGTAATGCTATCTGGTTCTTGCCATCAATTATCCTTTTAGAAGAAATAAAGTTTAAGTCCATTAATTGATTTAATCTCAGTCTTGATCATTGATATTTTGACAAGAAGTTCGGATCAGAACAAAAATATAATGTTTTAGATTTTGGTCACAATGCTACATTGTCCTTGAGAACAATACTACACAGAGACAGGGATGTACCATTAAGGGAAAGAATGTGGATTTAAGTACATATACATTCTAACATGCTCACTTAAGGGCTTATGACAATAATAAAGATTACAATTTTGCGTATTTTCCTTAGCTAAAATTCAGTGTCTCTCAATCCCTTTTAGGACAATACTTTATACCTGTCTTGTGGCACTGGTGCCCCAGCCAAATGAGCCACTGTGGGGAAAATATCCATCAGGCTTGTGGGTTCATCAAGGATGGTATTAGCGGCGATCTTTCCTGGCCATCTAACTATTCCAGGCATACGGATTCCTCCCTCCCAACCACCCATGCTCTTTCCACCTGCAGCGGAGGCAAAAGGCATCATTAAATCTTAAATTGAAATTACAATCTTGCAGCATTTCGCCATTCAGTTATTTAATGCATTGATAATAAAGCCTAGATCTCAAGGACAGCTGAAAAAGGAAGAGAGGTGACACCACTAGATCCAATCTCCTTCTGAATTAAAGACTTTTGCACACACAGAACAATGAAAGCATCCATCCATTAGGCAAGTTTTCTTTCTGATGTTGGCAATTATCCTCTGCAGGGTATGCCTGTAGAATTCAAATATAAGATCTGATTCTTCATGCATCTCTCTTTTCTTATTTTGTGGGACCATTTCTGAATAGGACCAGGCCTTCTTCCTTTTATCAGCTGAACACATATGAATACAGAAGTTGCTCATCCTGCGTCAGAACAGTGGTTCACCTAACTCCACACAGTCAACATTGATTAGTAACCTACTAATCCCAGAAATACACAACAGACTGCGAAAGACTACAAAGGATCCAATCCCAATGAGATATAACCTCAAACATATTGCTGAAGAATATACATGTAAGACTGAGGTTCAAAACAGATACAAAGACCGGGACCTTGAAGATGGTGTTTGAGCAATTGTGGGGATATGCTAAATGATTGTACAAAAGAAGCTGGAAAGCACAAAACCAGAAACAGTAAGAAATAAAAGGACATTCTGTCTGTCAAATAAAGCCACAGAAATAGCTACAGAAAGAAGATTGGTGAAAACCAGAGGAGGTCCTGGGAAAGCCAGAGAGCTTAATGCAAACTTCCAACAGCAGTGTCATAATGAACAAGCATAAAGAGGTTTTAATGATGGAACTTAATGTTAACCAAATATGGAAGAAGTACACAAAAATCTGAACAAGAAGGCCAACTCAGATGACGTTGCATTTGAGAGAGAAGAATTTGAGGAAAACCAATAGTTAGAAGGGCTATAAATCAACTGGCAAATAAGAAAGCCCCAGGGGTACATGAAATCCCCATAGGGCTGTTAAAGAAGGCCAGTGTGGAAGCAACAAAGATCATGACAGCCTCTGCCAACAAATATGGAAAAAACCAAACCAAACCAAACCAAAAAAACAACAACAACCACCCAGCATGGAACAAAGACTGGAAACATACATCTATATCCCAATCTCTAAAAGGGGAGATTTAAAGAAATGCTTTAATTATAGGACAATAGCCCTAACAATGGGCAAAAACAGATTGGGGAATCTGTATAAAGTCATGAAACAATTTGACATCTCTATTAAGACAAAAGTTAGAATGAGTCATTCACTGTTTTTTCTATTATTATGTACAGATGTGAGGGATGAACTCTGCAAAAGATGGACTCCTTTGACATATGGTGCTGATGGAAGCTACTTTACATGTCTTGGGCAACCAAGAAGAACAAATGTCCAATACTAGAGAAACCTGAACTTCATTGGAACAAGGAATATGAAAAAAAAAAAACCCAACCATACTTTGGACACATCATGAGGGGTGATGCATCTATAGAAAGGATGATAATGCTGGGCAAGATAGACAGGAGAAGAAAAGGGGGCCAACAGTGCATGAGGCGGATAATTGAAGTATTGGAAGCTACAATTAAGAATAT